GATTAGGAAATACAGTTGTGGCATTAAATGATCATAAACTATTAAGGATCCAAAGTACATGTTGAAAAACAAACAAACCATAATATATCGAGAAAAAAAACATATATTGAGATTTTTTTAGCTGAGGCAACTATCCATCAGATACCACATATCTAAGCAAGTAAATGTCATCATATGGTCCTGTAACAATGAACAAAAACTATACTAGAAATTAAGCTATGAAAGCTAGTAACATGACAAAATGTGTTAGGACAATACCTTACTAAATGAGTACGTGTTAACCATGTTAATGAGGGCCCAACCTTCCATTAACCAGAGAAAGTGGTGTTACAGCACAAATTGAGAACTAACTGTAAAACCAGTTGAAAAAGGCTTGACTCATCAAATCAATACAAAGCCCCATTATTCAAAACCAATTAAAAAAAATAAAAAACAGGTTTTCAAGACTGAAATATCAATCAGTTTACCTCCAGTGGATTTAATATGAAGATGCAATTACCAGTCTAAGAAAACCATGACACTGTGCAATTCCAAAACTTAAGTATCAAACAATATGTAGTTCCTGAAGTGTTCACAACTGTATAAAAATACATATTTAGTTATGTTTTAATTTATATATAACAAAATCAATTAAAGAACAGATAAAAATTGTTTAGTTGATTACCTTTTAGAATAAGTATTAAAAGAATGGATAACTTTACATGTATTCATGTCTGGTCATGTACCAGTATGCACTATAATAGCTTTTTGAGATAAGTGTTTTTAATTTTAGTCAATGTGTTTCAAAGGACACATTATTTAATTTAGCTACCTTTGTACTGAAAGAAGATCGATGACAACTTTTTATGTGTAACTATACATTTTTTCTCCTAGATTTTATATGTGTTCTAATTTTTTTACAGAATGTGTAGGGCTTAAAATACATCAGCCCAGCACATCCAGGTTTGAACATCCTCAGGATATTCTTCAGGGTGTTTAGAACAGAACAATGCAAGTTGCTAAAAGACTGCCAATGGCTGACAAGAGAAATGTATGACATAGTGGGATGCCATTAGCTGGTACAATTGTCATGGAGAATAAGGTGTTCAGCGTGTGGCAGGTGGTCACACTTTTAATGTGTCAATACAACAACACATGAGGGACATGTAGTATAATAGAAAATGAAAGCGACAATTTATGTAAAAAAGAAATATTCTTTTTTATGCCCCACCTACATTAGTAGAGGGGCATTACATTTTCTAGTCTGTTCGTTTGTCCGTCTGTCCCGCTTCAGGTTAAAGTTTTTGTCAAGGTAGATTTTGATGAAGTTGAAGTCCAACCAACTTGTTATTTAGTACACATGTTCCCTATGATATAATCTTCCTAATTTTAATGCCAAATTAGAGTTTTGACCCCAATTTCACGGTCCACATAGAAAATGATAGTGCAAGTGAGGCATCCGTGTACTATGGACACATTCTTGTTTTTATATGCATACATTTTCAGTGATGTATTTAAGCTAAAAAGTTTGTTGTAATTAGAACATCTTAATAATCCATATCTCAATTGATTTTGAACAAATTTCTTAGATATTTATGTAATTGATACAAAATTGATTTTTCATGTGACAAGAAATGCTGAAATACAACCAGGGGATAAATTTAGAAAATAAATATTTGTGAATCTTTTATTTGTCTTTTTATTTCTTTGTATATGGCATTGTTTAGATTGCATGACCAACCAACCTGTATTAGGTTATAGACTCTTTATTCATGTTTGATTTGATTTTATTGTATTTAAATGTTAAAATTTAAAATATTGTTTACTCAGTCATCTAATATTTACGTGTATCAAAATTATTACAAATGCAGCCTTCTTCCTACAATGAAAGCACAATCCCAATTTATGAGCATTTACTTGTACTGGCTAATACTGGGAAAAACAGTGGACCATGATATGCCCAAGTATGCTGCAGAGCCAAAACAACACTTTGATTCTGTCAAAATATTATTGAAATTCACTAACAAAAAACTGTTGAAATATACAAACATATATAACATTTAGAGTAATTAAGGCGAGAATACATTGAGGACTGTAAAGTTATACATACAACCTGTGACCAATTATCTTCGTTTGACCATAAAACTGTGTGAAAATATCGTATACACTACCAAATGCAACCAAGTGACAAAATTCTAGATGTGAACAGTGTCTCTTCATAACCATAGCCTATATTAATACTGTTGTGTAATGTTGGAAGGAATAACTGGTTGAATTTTCAAATAAAAATACAGATTAAAGGCGTATATTAATCAAATATACTAGTATATCTAAGGTTCAAATCGACAGGTTCTTTTTGCATGGTTTATATATATATATATGGCTCTCATATGAAGTAGTTTTTATAATGTGGAGTTCTTCGATACAGGTTGTTTTAACAGGTAGTTCATGGTTCTTAAAACAAAAGGATTCAAATTGGTATGTGTCTTAATCACTGGTTATGTAAAAAAGCCTTGTAAGGTTCTTCAATACAGTTAACGTTTTTGTTGGGTTTCATGTTGCTCAGTCTTTAGTTTTCTATTTTGTGTTTTGTATAATTTTGTTTGTTGGTCTTTTTTAGCCATAGTGTTGTCAGTTTATTTTCGGCTTATGATAGATATAAGAAGATGTGGTATGAGTGCCAATGAAACAACTCTCCATCCAAGTTACAATTTATAAAAGTAAACCATTATAGGTCAAAGTACGGTCTTCAACACAGAGCCTTGGCTCACACCAAACATCAAGCTCTGAAGGGCCCCAAAAATGACTAGTGTAAAACCATTCAAACGGGAAAACCATTCAAATGGGAAAACCAACGGTTATGAGTTTGAATGTCTCTGGTATCTTTTGCCTCTGTTGTCTATACAAAATATGGTTCTTAGATACAGGTTGGTTTTAAAAGAAAATTAGTTCAATATGATGGATTTCTATACATAGTGTGTTTCTGGATACACGATGTCTATAATATCAAGATACAAGTTGTCTGGGTATGGTTCCTAGATTCTAGTTTTCTATATTTCGTATGGTTCCTGGATATATGTTGTCTATATACAGTGTGGTTCCTCAATATGAGTTGTCTATAGATGGTGTGGTTCCTAGATACAAGCTGACTATATATTGTGTGGTTCCTAGAAACATGTTGTCTATATAAGGTGTGGTTCCTCGATCTAAGTTGTCTATAGATGGTGTGGTTCCTAGATACAAGTTTTAAATAAATGGCATGGTTCATAGAAATAAGTTATTTATAGAAGGTATGGTTCCTAGATATAAGTTATTTATATAAGGCGTGGTTCCTAGATATAAGTTGTTTATATGTGGTTTGGTTCTTAGATACAAGTTTTCTATAGATGTAATGGTTGCTTGATACAAGTTTTAAATACATAGTATGGTTCCTAGATATAAATAAACTCATCATAGATACCAGGACTACATTTTTTATTTACGCCAGACACGCGTTTCGTCTACAAAAGACTCATCAGTGATGCTCGAATCCAACAAAGTTAAAAAGGCCCAAAAAAGTATGAGGTTGAAAAGCATTGAGGACTAAAATTCCTAAATTTTTTGCCAAATACAGCTAAGGTAATCTATTCCTAAGGTTATCTTAAGATGGCGTGTTAAGATGGCGTGGTTCTTAGATACAAATTGTCTATAGATGGTGTGGTTCCCAGATACAAGTTTTAAATAAATGGTATGGTTTCTAGAAATAAGTTATTTATTGAAGGTATTGTTCCTAAATACAATATATGGTATTGTTTCTGGATACGGATACAAGTTGTCTTTAGATGGTATGGTTCCAAGAAATAACTTAGTCTTATGGAGATGAAACGCGCGTCTGGCGTATTAAATTATAAGCCTGGTACCTTTGCTAACTATTAGCATGTATTATTGTATTGTTTATTTGTGTATTTCTTTGTCCTGAAAGTTCTTGCATTTATTTGTACTGTAGTCCTGTCATGTAATGTTGTCCTTTTAGTGTTATATTTAACATTGCCATAAAAGCACGAGGTTTGGCTAGCCACAAAACCAGGTTCAACCCACCATTTTTTCTTAAAATGTCCTGTACCAAGTCAGCAATATGGCAGTTGTTATCTTATAGTTCGTTTCTGTGTGTGTTGCATTGTCGTTTGGTTTTTTGTTGCACTTTAGTGTTTCTGTTGTTTCGTTGTTTTCCTCATATAGTTGATGTGTTTCCCTCGGTTTTAATTTGTACCCCGGATTTGTTTTCTTTCAATCGATTTATGACTTTCGAACAGCGGTGTACTACTGACGCCTTTATTTATCTATATATTGCTTGGTTCCTAGATAGCAGGTGTCTATACAGACGGTGTGGTTACTAGATATAAGTTCCCAGCAGGCATTTCAACGTTGAAACAACGTTGAATCAACGTTGATCTGTAACGTTGAAAAGACGTTGAAATAACGGTTGGTTTTGAAAGTTGACACAACGTTGAATATCTGACGTTGAAACAACGTTATATTTTCAACATTGTATCAACGTTGATTTTTGATTGAATATAGGTTGAAACTTAACATTGAAACAACGTCACCCTAATATTGCAGCAACATTCTTTCATGTTGAAATAAGCAATACATTGCTTGTTGTTGGTTCATCAGTCACATGTGTTTGTTGTTACAAATTTAGGCGGTTGGTTTTTCTCGTTTGAGTTGATTATTGAAAGGTGTATTGTGTCCGGGTCTTCTGTATTGCGGTCTATACGGTGTGGTGTGTGCTTATTGTTGAAGTCCGTTTAGTGACCTCCACGTCAATTGGACTCTGGTGGATATTTGTCTCATTGGAAATCATACCACATCTTCTTATATCTATAATAGTTAGTAACCACACAAGATATTGAAGCCACATGACTCTACAGAGGACATCAGCAAGATTTGAAAAAAAAACAGTACAACAGATGTCAAGTTATGACAAAAGCTAAATTAAATATAGCCAAAAGGTGATCTGGTAAATGAATACAAATAATCTCTTCATCAATTTTTATTATTTTCATGAAAATGAATTGTAGTCTCTAAACTCCTCCAACCATTTCTGGTGCATAATCCTTCTTTAATTCAGCTTCTGTTATATTTGTGTAGGCCTCCATTACTCTTCCTGAAAAAACAAACACAAATAATATTTTGTAAACATGACTTAGCAATTACGTAGAACGCCAAAGGCAGGGAATAAAATGTTATATAGGCCAGGTTTTTTTTAAATAATTTACTGGTTTATATAATAGCGGATCCGTTTTTACCATTTTTTTCGCTCCTGTACATGTACAATGTAGCAATGACGCCTATCTCGAGCACCACGATCTATTGTTCAAATGCCACCTATTTCGGCCACCACGATCTATTGTAACAATGCCACCCATCTCAAGCACCAGGATCTATTGTAACAATGTCACCCATCTCGAGCACCAGGATCTATTGTAACAATGTCACCCATCTCGAGCACAAGGATCTATTGTTAAAATGCCACCTATCTCGAACTCACGATCTATTGTACAAATGCCACCCATCTCGAGCACCAGGATCTATTGTAACAATGCCAACCATCTCGAGCACCAGGATCTATTGTAACAATGCCACCCATCTCGAGCACCAGGATCTATTGTTAAAATGCCACCCATCTCAAGCACCAGGATCTATTGTAACAATGCCACCCATCTCGAGCACCAGGATCTATTATAACAATGCCACCCATCTCGAGCAGCAGGATCTATTGAAACAATGCCACCCATCTCGAGCACCAGGATCTACTGTTAAAATGCCACCTATTTCGAGCATCAGGATCTATTGTAACAATGCCACCCATCTTGAATACCAAGATCTGTTGTAACAATGCCACCCATCTCGAACACCAGGATCTATTGTAACAATACCACCTGTCTTATTGATTGCAGAGGTTATGTTTTAAATTTGATATGCATTAAAAAAAATATTAATCCAAATAAAATCAAATCAAATCAAATGTCTTTACTAGTATTCCTAATTAAAGGGCCCATATAGAGCATATAAATCAATTCAAATCACAAAGTTCACACAAACAACACAGGCAATCCAACATACATACTGATTATTGATAAAATGTTAAAAATTTTAAAAAAAAAACATACCTTGACAGCTATTACTTTTATCCTTAAATCTTTCTTTCCTAAGTTACTGATCTGTCCCTTTCCTAAGTTACTGTTCTGTCTCTAATACCTGTGCAAAAAAAAAGAATAACATCGATCATCATCGCCAAGCAATATTTTAAATTTGTAAAATTATTAAAAATTTCAGAGAATAGTTGACAATAATTAAAATAGTGTGATTATGGATGACGGGTTAAAACTTTAGATAAAAAAGGGGGAGATGATAATCTTACTTCGCAAAAGTTCCTTTTCTTTAACAAATCCGTAGTAAATAACTAAAATGAGCTGTATGTAGGCTGAGTATGGTGTTTCTAGATTGTAGTACATATTTATATAGAAGTGCAGTAATAAATTTGAACGTACAACAAAAAATATGGTGTACACACTGAAGTCAGTAATGTTATCTTTACAACATACACTATGGCGAGATTTTCAAAATATACACGTACGTTTGTGCATTTATAATCTCCCAATGTTAACATCACACAAGCATTAAAAGACAATTAGTACAGCAACGGATAATAATTTAAAGAAACACTTACATTTCTATGAATTCTTCTTTGATGAAAACGGTCCTAAATAATGTCCAGGAAAATTATACAATTTCCGCGTTTGAAAAAGGCGGTTACACACGTGTGGTCATACATTAATCAGCATCATGTCACGTGATAATTTTATCAATAGATTATTGGGAGTGCTAATCCGTGTAGATGCCGCACTTTCACATGCTGTGTCTTATCTTTGATTAATATATTTCCGGATAATAACAAATTAGTTAGTAGCATATTTCGATGAATGATAATTTAAATTTATACACTTTTATGATTTTGATAAACGTCCCGGTTTTGGAATATTCCTAATTTTACTAGATATTGTACAAAAAAAAATGAAAGGAAACATTGATTACAATTTTTCATAGCAAAATCCTTATTTATGAACTTTTGTTGATACAATAACAAAGGATGTACAACTATAATTATTCACCTTTAACGCTAATGGTGGATAATTTTTTACACCGATGCATACAATTTTTTTTCTGGACGAACCTCCATCGTCGACATGTCAACCAACATTTAACGTTGAAACAACATATTTATGTCAACCTAACTTCAACATTGAAAATTCAACTAAAATTCAACGTTGAATCAACTTACTTTCTGCAACATAACTTCGACGTTGCTGTTACAACGTTGAAACAACGTTGAAGCAACGTCATGACGAAATATCAACCACATTTCAACGTTGAAATGACGTTGCGTGCCTGGTGGATTATCTATATATGGTGTGGTTCCTAGATACAGGTTATCTTTATATGGTTTTGTTCCTCGATATAAGTTTTTTATAGATGTTGGGGTTCCTAAATACAAGTTGTCTATAGATGGTGTGGTTCCTTAGTACATGTTGTCCATATATGGTGTGGTTCCTTGATTCAAGTTGTGTACAGATGGTATGGTTCCTAGATATATGTTATCTATAGAATGTGTGGTTCTTAAATTTATACAAGTTGTCATTTATGGTGTTGTTTCCTCGGTATAAGTTGTCTATAGATGGTATGGTTCCCAATACAAGATGTCTGTAGATGGTGTGATTCCTAGATACATGTTGTCTATAGATTACTCTACCACTTGGAACTCATATGTCAATATCTTCCTTTTAAGCAGCAATTCCCTATTAAGGAAATCATGATAGGGAATGCAAACTTTTGAATATCATATCAACTGTGAGATAAATAATCTATATGCAGCTGCTTCTGGGATGTCATTACATAGAAACGGAAAATGTACAGTGGGAAGCTGAATCATCTCTATATTGTCGTAAAGTTTTGATCTCAGCCGATACTCATTGTCAATTTTAGATATAAGTCATGATATGAGGCAGATTTATCTGTATATTGTGTATCCTTAATTTCACGTTCAATGGGATAGATTTGTTCAACATAGTCACCAAACTTTGAATTATTCAATGTGATGACCTCATCTAGATAGCAAAAAGTGAACTCATAAATTATAATGCTAGCTTCTTTTCATTCTTCCGTAGAAGCTCCGTATGGAGTCTGTCTCATGTGAATAACGGAACAATTCGGCAGGAAGAAGAGCCCAGTTGCTTTCCATGGGATTCGGTCGATAGTTTGTAGGAAAAAAACGTCCTCCGAACGTGATATATATTGTATCAGAGTTTTTTGTTTGTTTACAAAGTACGATTTATTCAACCCTAAACAAAGACTTTTGAAGCTAGTTGGCCATTTATTTTTCATGAAACGAAGCAGAATCCATTAAAAGCTTCAATAATAATTGTATGTACTGTAACACATTATAATTTTATTCAACAAATAATGCTTGTTACAATTACTATCAAGATTCAAAACTTTTCTTGACGTACCCTTTTAATTCGAATAATCTCTTACAACATTCAATTTATACTGTTTTAAATAGCTACATATCTTATACCAGAAGATCCAAATACCTCAGACAACAATCATAGAATGAATCAAATAGCTATATACTTCATACCTCAAGGTCGAATTGTCTCAAAACTTATAGACTGTACTAAAAAACAACATACCTTATACAATTAGGTCAAATAACCACACGCAACACTTATAGAAGAGGGACGAAAGATACCAGAGGGACAGTCAAACTCATAGATCGAAAACAAACTGACAACGCCATGACCAAAAATAAAAAGACAAACAGACAAATAATAGTACAGATGACACAACATAGAAAACCAAAGATTAAGTAACACGAACCCCACCAAAAACTGGGGGTGATCTCAGGTGCTCCGGAAGGGTAAGCAGATCCTGCTCCACATGTGGCACCCGTCGTGTTGCTTATGTTATTACAAATCCGATAAATAGTCTAATTCGGTAATTCACATTCGTGAAAAGGGAGTGTATTGTAGTTACGACATAAGGAACATATCCGATATCATCTGTGAAACGGTTATTCCATAACGGTCAACCAACTCGTGATGGTGTCCGTAAAATTTACGAAGGGATGACTTCAACTTCATCATTTGGAACTCTTGGTTTAATAGCTTCCTTGTGAGCAGCAATCCTCTATCAAGGAAATCATGATAGGAAACACAAGCCCGGGAATATCGTATCAATTGGGAGATATATACTCCTTATGCAGGCGCTGCTGGAATGTTGCTACATAGAAATGGAAAGTTCACAATTGGGAAGCTGAAATCATCTCTTTTGTCGTAAAGTTTTGTTTTCAACCAACCCTCATTGTCAATTTCTAGATGTAAGTCAAGATATGAGGCAGACTTAACTGTATCTGTAGTATCCTTTATCTCTAGTTCGATGGGATAGATTCGTTCAACATAGTCACCAAATTTTGTATTATTTAGTGAGAGAACATCATCTATATAGCGGAATGTAGAGTTAAAGGATATTGCTAACTTCTTATCTTTCTTCCTAAGAAGTTCCTGTATGAAGTCAGCCTCATAATAATAAAGAAACAAGTCGGCAAGAAGAGGGGCACAATTGATTCCCATTGGAATTCCGACAGTCTGTTGAAAAACACGTCCTCCAAACGTAACAAATATGTTGTCAATCAAGAAATCAAGCATCTTGATAATGTCAGTTTCAGAGAATTTTTTGTTTGAATCAGAGTGATTCTTTACAAAGTCTTTATAGACTGTACCAAATAACCATTTACCTTACACCATAAGGTCCAATTACTAGTACATCATACAACACTTACAGAATTATCAAATGACCGTATACTTTGTATCATAAGGTCCAATTACATCATACAAAACGGTACACACTTTTTTCATATTATATAATTACCATGTAAATCTTTGAATGATGGTTTTTTTTTGTGTTAATATTGATTTTGTTATCAGTAAGTTAAAAGCAAACTCAATGATATTATTGTTATATATATACACACTTTCATTGATCTACAATCTATCGACTCTCGTATCTTGGCATTGCACAAGGTCATGTTTTTCTCTGACTGTTTATGATGTCTTTACACTAAATCCATTGGATGGTGGATGTGTACTGATTAATAATTTAGTCTTGGATGAATGCATTTTTTTTTATATAAGTTGATATTGGCTTTGAACTAGCTGCCGGTAACTTCGATCGAGTACTCTCAGATCTGTACTTAGTGTCTTTATGTTGTTGGGATGTACAATACCCGGTCACGTCCACGTTGTTTTGTTTTATTTATTTCTATGTGTATCATCTGATGAGTTCAGCCTTTTTCAACTGATTTTTATAGTTCGGTCTTATGTTGTACTGTTACACCACAGTTCCAGGTTAGGAGAGGGTTGGACTCCCGCTAACATGTTCAACTCCCGCCACATTATGTATCTATGTGCTCACTGCTGGTCCCAAGTCAGGTGCCTGTAATTCAGTGGTTGTCGTTTTTTGTTGTGTTACATATTTGTTTTTCTTTCATTTTTTTTTTGTACATTATGCCGTTAGTTTTTTGTTTTTTGAATTGTATTACATTAGTGATTTCGGGGCCTTTTATAGCTGACTATGCAGTTTCAGGCTTTGTTCATTGTTGAAGGCCGTACGATGACCTATAGCTATTGATTTCTGTGTCATTTGGTCTCTTGTGGAGTTGTCTCATTGGCAATCATACATCATCTTCTTTTTATATATATATTCCTTTTTTTAACTGAACTAGTATACATTATTTTATGAGCAAACTGAAGCCCGCCTCCAGATGTTGGATTTTCTCTATTCGTTAAAGACACATCGGTTGTCTTTTTGACACATTCCCTGTTTCTATATAACCTCTATTCTAGATTTACCTATCAACCATAGACAACATATACAGACTGTATCTAAAACCTACAGACAGCATATACTGGCTCTGTCCAACAAGCACAGACAATATATACACACTGTATCTAGCAATCGCAGTCAATATACACAGAATGCATCTAACAACCACAGACAATATACAGACTGTATCTACAACCCACAAACAGCATATACAAACTGTGTCTAACAAACACAGACAACATATACACAATGTATCTAGCAACCAAAGACAATATTCAAAGACTATCAAAGAACCACAGACAATATACACAGAATGCATCTAACAACCACAGACAATTTAAACAGACTGCATTTGACAACCACAAACAACATATACACACTGTATCTAGCAACCACAGACAACATATACCCACTGTATCTAGCAACCACAAACAACATATACACACTGTATCTAGCAACCACAGACAATATACACAGACTGTATCTAAGAACCACAGACACCATATTCACACTGTATCTAAGAACCACAGACAACATATACACACTGCATCTAAGAACCACAGACAACATATACACACTGTATCTAGCAACCACAGACAACATATACACACTGTATCTAGCAACCACAGACAACATATACCCACTGTATCTAGCAACCACAGACAATATACACAGACAACATATTCACACTGTATCTAAGAACCACAGACAACATATACACACTGTATCTTAGAACCACAGACAACATTAACAGACTGCATCTAACAACCACAGACAACATATACCCACTGTATCTAACAACCACAGACAATAAATGCAGACAGTATCTTATAACTGCAGTATTGGTGTGCCTTTCCCAAGTAAGGACAATGAAGTTCAGTGGTTGTTGTTGGTTCATGTCTGTCATATTTGTAAATTGATTTTCTATAAGTTAAGACATTAG